TCTCTCTCTCTCTCTCTCTCTCTCTCTCTCTCTCTCTCTCTCTCCCTGCCTTGTTTTCCTGGGTCATCCTATCAATCAGAAGAGGCATAGACACCTGACTCAGGGGGTCAGCCAGTCACTGATCAGATTCTCTTGAGATCATGAAAGACAGACTGCAGTCTTATGGTAGTAGACACCTGAGTCTAAAAGGTCAAATGTCATTACTGTAGCTAGTTTGACTTGGTTTCTGTTCCTGCTCCAAAGAACTCTGAGTAGAATAAAGATTGGATATAATCTGATCCTTTGCTATGATCTCTTCTGCTTGAGTCCTTGAAATGCAGCCTTTTTCCTTCCCTTTGTAACCAATGTACTCAAAACGCTGAGGTTCTAGGGGCTTCCCAGACCTACACACATGGTTTCCTCTGCCCAGAAAACTAGCCTTTTCTTCCTCTCTTCCTGTGAGTCTACTTAGCAAATCCCTGGCCTTCAAGGGTCAGTTCACATCACATTTCTGTAGCACCCCTCTTTGATTCCTTAGAATCCAGCTTTATGTTACAGCATTAATCATGTTGTATTATATGTGTCTGGATATTTTTCTATTTCCCGTGAGACTGCAAGTTTCCTGAGGGAAAAGGCTGTGTATCCTTTATCTGCATTCCTTAGATACTATAAAATAGCTGGTGGATAGAATATAGTAAAGAAATCTTTTATTGAATAAATTCATCAACAATATCCAAACATGAATTTTAATGATCCAGTAGTATTTTTTCTCATGACAGTAGTATTTTTTCTCATGACATAAATCAAAGGGTAGGAATTTTTTGTTTCCAAATAAACCAGTTGATACCATACCAAATAGTTGGTACCTGATCAAGTCAGGAAGAGGCAATTTCATGTAGTGGTGAAGCGTTTGGGAGATGGAGTGAAGCAGACTCACGTTCATGCCTCAGTTCAGACACTGACTGTGCTATGAAATCTTTCTCTGCTACGCTTTCCTTTTCTGTAAGATAACTCATAACTGTGCTTTGTAGCATTATGATGAGAATTACGGAAACAATATTTTTCTAACAGCATAGTCAGAAAGATGGCATGTGGAAAGACTATGAGTTTTTTGCTAACATTTCATAGTAAGAATTCTTTCAGTTCTGTAGTAGTTTTATCCAGCTGGTACTAGGCCCATTATCATACTGTCAATAGAATTTGCCAAACTAATAAAATCTGGTTGCAGGAAAGGACCTGATTGAAAGGCTTACAAATCTAACCTAAGATTAGCGTAGCCTGGTTAAACTCCTAAGTGGCACACACAGATGATAACAACTCTATATTCAGTAACTTCTATCTTTAGTAACTGGACAAATTTTGGCAATACTTTTTATGTACCTCAGAACAGACATTCCAAAATGAAAGATAAACTTAAAGTAATTATTCCAGAGTTACTGAGGGGAAATATCTGCAAGACTGTTTCCAATAAAGCCTCATGGGTAATATTTACTAGTGAATTAATGGAGCTCAGGACCTGATCTCAAGTCTGGGAGTACAGTTCACTGTTCTCAGGACCTTAGAGAAAAATGCATATGAAATAAAATGCACTTGAACCTTAGCAACGTCTTGAAGAAACATCTCTCACCTAAATAAGTCTAATCAGTCCAATCAGCATTCACTCCCAGTGATCAAGATATAAGGAAGACAAACCATAATCAAAAGGTAATTAGGCTAGAATAGAAAGAAAAAAGATATACAGATTATTTTATAATAATCTCTTCAGCTTCCCCCCCCCCCACCCCCAACAAGGGTACGTGGGAGACCAGCCTATCATCTCGGAGGCACCAACTGTCCGAACCGCCCTCCAACAGAGGTAGTGAAGCGCACTAGACCAGCTAGTGTTTCCAGTGCTGAGCGAGAGGGTGAAGTGTCTCGACCCTGCCCGCCATCCAACCTGGCCCACAATCACACCGAGTCGGGAGATGAGTCAACCGTGAAGGTGCAATAATCTCAACTTTACTGTGTCAGGGACAAGGTTATATGGTGATAGAAGGGACTAAGAAGAGACAGTAGTGAGAACTAATAAGGGGCAGTTACGTTACTATCACTAAGGGGCCTAGGCAGATTTCAGATTGAATCATTAGGCGGGGCTAAAGTCAAAAGCCCAAAAAACGCCAATCCAGCCAGGTCACATAAACAGAAATGCTAACCCATGAGGCCGGCTCAGCCAACACCCAATAATGGCCGCAGTCCCAAGGGAGGTAAAAGGTCCCAACATTCAGCTAACATAGCTCATTCATTGTCATTCAACAAATATTGGCTGTGTCTATTACATGCTGGAAACTTCTAGAAGCTGGGTACATAGGAGTGAACAAAATAGTTATGCTAGGAAGATATAAATCATCACACAAATGAGTTTATAATTATAAATTTGGTGTTTTGGGAAAAAAATAGTATATTATACAAAAGACTATCAAGGGAGTCCTAAATCAGATTCTGTAGGAGCTGACATCTAAAATTAGACTAGGGAATTTTAGTAGAAATTTGGAGACGTGGGAAAGAGAAGAGCTGAGGAAGGCAAAGAATTCAAAGTAGAATAACATGCAAAGGATCAGAGGCACCCATAGGAGGGAGGCAGCCATTGGGAGGAAGGTACTAACTGAAGATGAAAAAAGAAGCTGGGTCATTCACGTGTTTTTGGCAGAGAGGTGGCACCATGCAAATTACACTTATTATTTATTTATGGAAGAATGTATGTGTGTACTGGGGATCAACTCAGGATCTTGCACATGCTAGACAAGCTTTCCACCTCTGAGATAAATGCCCAAACCTGTAATCTTTTTTTAGTAGTCCCTTACTACATGGTACAGACCAAGGTTACAGTAAGGAAGATGAAGCTCAGTTGTTG